GTACAAAAGTATAAAACTTTTAATGGTGCGAGAATCCTGAGAATAATGATCCTATCCAGAGGAGTTAAACTACTAAAGGCATTTATCAAAAATATATTCCATTACTTTGGCTGACATAGTAAGTAGTACAGCCCAAACTCAGGGGCACAACAAACCAGTTTAAAATCTTTAAACCAAGTAGTTATAGATAATAGAATGGCCTTGGATTTTCTTTTGGCCAACTAGGGAAGATTCTGAACCACTGCTAACACTCTATGTTATACCTAAATACTACAAGTGAATTGGAATAATCCATATCTAAGCTAAAGGAAAGGTAACCTAGCTATCTAAAATAGACTCGAGAATCTTTGAGACTTCTTTCATGATCAGGTCTGGGAAATTTGGCATCATGGTTTTGAAATATCTTCCAGTCTCTTCCAGTTATACTTGTCTCACTGCTTATTTTTTTGAATTTTATTTTTTTTTTTATACAGCAGCTTCTTATTAGTTATCTATTTTATACATATTAGTGTATATATGTCAATCCCAATCTCCCAATTCATCCCACCCCTGTCCCCCTTGTTTTCCCCCCTTGGTGTCCATATGTTTGTTCTCTACACCTGTGTCTCTATTTCTGCCTTGCAAACTGGTTCATCTGTGCCATTTTTCTAGATTCCACATATATGCATTAATATATGATATTTTTCTCTTTCTGACTTACTTCACTCTGTATGACAGTCTCTAGGTCCATCCACGTCTCTACAAATGACCCAATTTTGTTCCTTTTTATGGCTGAGTAATATTCCATTGTATATATGTACCACATCTCCTTTATCCATTCGTCTGTCTATGGGCATTTAGGTTGCTTCCATGACCTGACTATTGTAAATGGTGCTGCAATGAACATTGGGGTGCATGTGTCTTTTTGAATTATGGTTTTCTCAGGGTATATGCCCAGTAGTGGGATTGCTGGGCTCACTGTTGTTAAATGTGTATTTTCCAGAGTCTTAAACACTTTAGTGCAGCCACTGTCCTTACAGATGATTCAAGAAGTGATTTAAAGACAAAACAAACAGAATAAAATCACATTGATAGACATGTAAACTGAAAATAAAATTTCCACTGATGAAACCTCACCTTCAAGGAAAATCAACAACAGTAGTAAAGACCTACACAATCCTTGAAGGTCTCTCCTGAAGCCTTAACTGAATGACAACCAAAAGGAAGGACTGAGAATAAAGAAGTTCCTATAAACTTAGAAAAAGACTGATTTTTGCTATAGCAAAGGTAACAAATAGCCATAAAAACCAGTTTTAAACCCATTCATTTGGTTAAGAATAAGCCCCTCATGAAATCAGCCTATCAGGGACAGACTCACTCTAATAAACATACCTCTGAGTGCCAACTAATCTACAACAGTCTCACCTGAGTAACCATGGACTACAGTTGATGTCAACCCACTTACACCTCTGAAAATCTGACAATTCCTAGTACTTCAATGCTCCCGCCAAACAAAGACCCTTTGTAAGATCAACAGTTTGCTCTGCTTGGAGAGACTGTGCCTGACCATTCAGCTTTGTCTTGTTATTTCACATACTGAGTGGTGGTCTCAACATCCTTTGCAAACTCTCCTGATTCCTTTATAATTCTTTAAACCTCTTCCCATTTAATAGTAGTAATAGCGATAGTAATGACAATGATGAGGATGATATAAGCTCCACTTAACTATATACCATGCTAAGGGCTTTACATATGTTATCTCAATAATTGAGGCCTGCCAGTAATATCTGGTTGCCAGCACTTTTTAGATTTTCAGGTAGCACTCAGACTTGAAGAAGTTATTAGCCCTGGCTTATTCAGTGCGCCAGTCATTTGCTTGTTTGCTTTCAATGCACTGCTCACCCTTTCCCTATTCTGCTCAATATCACAGAGGGCTGACTCCTACAGACTGAGTTTTCCAGGCTCTTCTGTCAGCTGGTTTAAGGTCAGTTTTGCTAATGGGAATCTGGAGCGAAAGATGAAAGGCAGGAAGGGAGGAAGAAGGCAGGGGTATCTCTCCTCCAGCAATAGCTGTGTTTCCTTCGGTTGCTCCAGCCCCTTTGAATGGGCTTTCCTTTGTGGTCATCACTCACATTATTATGTCTGAAATACCTAGAGCACTTTCTGGTTTTCTGGACCTTTATTGATACAATCAGAAAGAACTGGTAGTAGAAATTGTACCGGGTAGATTTGAGAGACTTGAGATTTAGTCCCAAGTCTGCCTCTAAATTACTTGTGACCTTGAAACAATCACAATTTGGTGCCTCAGTTTTGCTATCTATGTAAGAAAATAGTTCATCTTTAAGGCTCCCCCCGCCATCCCACCCAACTAGAATCTTCTATAATGCTGGACTTGCAAGAATTGGTTGAACATTTATGAGTTATAGCTTTTCCCTTCTCCGATAAAACAGTGCTAGAACCAGCTTTAAAGGCCTTGATTATATCTAGAAATATGGCTGTTCTCTTAATCAGGTGAGACATAAAAATACCCTTTTCCGTGAATAGGGCAAGCTAGATAATTTGAGGGGCCCAGTGCAAAAGGAAAATGCAGGCTCTTATTGAAAAAGCAGGAAAAAAGTGCCATTAAAAGTATTACAAATAAAACTTTTTCCTTTAAAAATATTTTGTTACTTATAAGATACAACAGAGGTACTAGTGGTATATGAGTAACAATATAACTGACAAAGTGCAAAAAATACTTTTGGTGCCATAATTTTATATAATACAATAAATTATAATACTTTATCAATGTCATATCTTGATTAATCATAATTTTGTGGCTTTCTTTTATGCAAATTCATTTTAAAAGTCATTAAAATATATACCTTTAGCAATTTTATTTTCAATTGATAACAATTGTAAGAGACCTTAGCTGCTCTTGGAAAATGAAAGATTGCAAATAATTTTTGATACTTTTAAATTTTGACAAGGATCTTTCTGCTGATGCAATTATTGGAGCTGTTAAGAGTATTTTATAGGTTGTGACAATATTTGGGATGAATTTCTGGTAAATTATTTTGAAATAAAAGTTTTAGTGCATGTAGAGCTAATGAGTCCCACAGAATAATTTTTCTAAAAATATTTCATTCTTCATACAAATCAGTTTTGTGTAAGCTGAAATTTAATTTAAAATGTAAATTTATACAATGGCATTTTAATATTTCCTCTGACATTTCCTGTAATTTATGGAGGTTGTACAAGAACCAAATGTGACTTCATGATTTGTATAAAATTCAAAGTGCTGGTTTATGCATTCTATTGATGCATCTTCAACTGCAAGGAAGAAAAAAAATTTTAATTATCCTCTTCATTAATAATTGGTTCATCTGAAGCTTCATAGTAGGTAGTGTATCTTCCTGTCAAATGCCCTGATCTTTCAATTTATTTTCTATTTCTAAGTCTGTGGATATGGGGACTTCCCTGGTAGTCCAGTGGTTAAGACTTCACCTTCCAATGAAGGGGGTGCGGTTTCCATCCCTGGTGGGGAAGCTAAGATCCCACATGCCTCGAGGCCAAAAAACCAAACATAAAGAAACAGAAGCAATATTGTAACAAATTCAATAAAGACTGAAAAAAAATGGTCCACATCAAAAAAAATGTCTGTGGATATGTGCTTTGCAATGTTGAAGCAGTTTTCAAAACCTGAGATTCAAAGGGAACCCTCCTGCACTGTTGGTGGGAATGTAAACTGATACAGCCACTATGGAGAACAGTATGGAGATTCCTTAAAAAACTAAAACTAGAACTACCCTACGACCCAGCTATCCCACTATTGGACATACACCCTGAGAAAAACCATAATTCAAAAACACATGCACCCCAATGTTCATTGCAGCCCTATTTACAATAGCCAGGACATGGAAGCAACCTAAATGTCCATCAACAGAGGAGTGGATAAAGCAGATGTGGTACATATATACAATGGAATATTACTTAGCCATAAAAAGGAACGAAATTGAGTTATTTATAGTGAGGTGGATGGGCCTAGAGTCATACAGAGTGAAGTAAGTCAGAAAGAGAAAAACAAATACCGTATGCTAACACATATATATTGAATCTAAAAAAGCATACAGATGAACCTAGTGGCAGGGCAGGAATAGAGACCCAGATGTAGAGGATGGACTTGAGGGCGCAGACGAGGAAGGGGAAGCTGGGGTGAAGTGGGAGAGTAGCACTGACATGCATACACTACCAAATGTAAAATGGACGGCTAGTGGGAAGCTGCTGCGTAGCACAGGGAGATCAGCTTGGTGCTTTGTGATGACCTGGAGGGGTTGGGTGGGGGGTGGGGGATGTGGGGATATGTGTGTACTTGTGGCTGATTCACTTTGTTGTGCAGCGGAGGCCAGCACAACGTTGTGGGGCATTTACACTCCAATAAAGATGTGAAAAGAAAAAAAGATTATAATGACTCCTTGACATGCTTTCTTGCAGTATTCATGTGTACAGTTTTATTTTGTAATAATTTACTGACAAAATTTACTGCCTGTGTGCCGGCAGTTCCTGTCCCATCCTCAGGCCAGAGTTAGTATTTGTGCAGATGCCACAGTCAGGCTCTAGGGACTGATGGGCAAGAGCCTCCCACCATGGGTCCCAGCAGTGCGTGTGTGCAGAAACCTTCCTTTCTCACATGGCTCTGGCCACTGCTGCCATGGCCGCTGCTTTTGCACTGCAGTTGCCATCGGTGCAACTGCCATCGCTGCTGCCAGTTTGGGCCTAGGTCCTGGCCTGGCAGCCTTGTTCAGGAAAATTTAGTACTTTTGTACGCCAGAGGCCTTGAAAAGTTAAGCCAAAATGCTGCAGAAGAGGAGCCTGGGATGCATGTCTTTATAAAATTACTTGCTAGCACCAGTAAGTCTAAAATCATGGGGTCCAGACACAGGGCTACAGGTGCCAATGGAAAACCTTAGCAATGCTAGGGGATCCATGGGAATAAGCACGATTGTTTCCAATATGTTCTAATGACATAATTAATATTATAGGTGACTGATAATCTTCCAGAAGTAATGATGCACGAAGATTGGTGTGTTTGGAGCCAAATCTATCCAAAGATGCATTTTTGGATGAAAAGTAGAGGTAAGTAAGTTTGTGTTGACCTAAATTTGTACTTCCTCCAGACTATGGTGTTCTTTATCTTGAAATATTTGATCACTTTGAAAGAATGGGAGTTTATTTATATGCACGCATGCCATCTTGAAGATTTTACAAGATTCATTCATCTGATTCATTCATCTTAGGTGTGAAATATGTTGTAGTACTTTTCACAGTGGTATATTAAAAAACTTTTTGTTATGTAAAATTTCAAATATATACAAAACTAGAGAGCATAGTATAATGAGCCCCTTCTTATGTACCCATTACCCAGCTTCAGTAATTTCATGACTGAGTTTTATCTGTACCTCCACCCACTTTCCTCAGTTATAGAGTATTTTGAAACAAATCCCAGACATCATATAATTTTATCTGCAAAAATTTCAACATGTACCTTTAAAGGATTAGGTACCATTATTTCACCTCAGATTTTTTTTTTTTTTTAACATCTTTATTGGAGTATAATTGCTTTACAATGGTATGTTAGTTTCAGCTTCACAACAAAATGAATCAGTTATATATATACATATATTCCCATATCTCTTCCCGCTTGCGTCTCCCTCCCTCCCACCCTCCCTATCCCACCCCTCCAGGCGGTCACAAAGCACCGAGCTGATCTCCCTGTGCTATGCGACTGCTTCCCACTAGCTATCTACCTTACGTTTGGTAGTGTATATATGTCCATGCCTCTTTATCGCTTTGTCACCGTTTACACTTCCCCCTCCCCATAGCCTCAAGTCCATTCTCTAGTAACTCTGTGTCTTTATTCCTGTTTCACCCCTAGGTTTTTCATGACATTTTTTTTTTAAATTCCATATATATGTGTTAGCATACGGTATTTGTCTCTCTCTTTCTGACTTACTTCACTGTGTATGACAGACTCTAGGTCTATCCACCTCATTACAAATAGCTCAATTTCGTCTCTTTTTATGGCTGAGTAATATTCCATCGTATATATGTGCCACATCTTCTTTATCCATTCATCCGATGATGGACACTTAGGTTGTTTCCATCTCTGGGCTATTGTAAATAGAGCTGCAATGAACATTTTGGTACATGACTCTTTTTGAATTATGGTTTTCTCAGGGTATATGCCCAGTAGTGGGATTGCTGGGTCATATGGTAGTTCTATTTGTAGTTTTTTAAGGAACCTCCATACTGTTCTCCATAGTGGCTGAACCAATTCACATTCCCACCAGCAGTGCAAGAGTGTTCCCTTTTCTCCACACCCTCTCCAGCATTTATTGTTTCTAGATTTTTTGATGACGGCCATTCTGACTGTTGTGAGATGATATCTCATTGTAGTTTTGATTTGCATTTCTCTAATGATTAATGATGTTGAGTATTCTTTCATGTGTTTGTTGGCAGTCTGTATATCTTCTTTGGAGAAATGTCTGTTTAGGTCTTCTGCCCATTTTTGGATTGGGTTGTTTGTTTTTTTGTTATTGAGCTGCATGAGCTGCTTGTAAATTTTGGAAATTAATCCTTTGTCAGTTGCTTCATTTGCAAATATTTTCTCCCATTCTGAGGGTTGTCTTTCGGTCTTGTTTATGGTTTCCTTTGCTGTGCAAAAGCTTTGAAGTTTCATTAGGTCCCATTTGTTTGTTTTTATTTCCATTTCTCTAGGAGGTGGGTCAAAAAGGATCTTGCTGTGATTTATGTCATAGAGTGTTCTGCCTATGTTTTCCTCTAAGAGTTTGATAGTTTCTGGCCTTATATTTAGGTCTTTAATCCATTTTGAGCTTATTTTTGTATATGGTGTTAGGGAGTGATTTAATCTCATACTTTTACATGTACCTGTCCAGTTTTCCCAGCACCACTTATTGAAGAGGTTGTCCTTTCTCCGCTGTACATTACTGCCACCTTTATCAAAGATAAGGTGTCCATATGTGCATGGGTTTATCTCTGGGCTTTCTATCCTGTTCCATTGATCTATCTTTCTGTTTTTGTGCCAGTACCATACCGTCTTGATATCTGTAGCTTTGTAGTATAGTCTGAAGTCAGGGAGCCTGATTCCTCCAGTTCCTTCTTTCGTTCTCAAGATTGCTTTGGCTATTCGGGGTCTTTTGTGTTTCCATACAAATTGCAAAATTTTTTGTTCTAGTTCTGTGAAAAATGCCAGTGGTAGTTTGATAGGGATTGCATTGAATCTATAGATTGCTTTGGGTAGTAGAGTCATTTTCACAATGTTGATTCTTCCAATCCAAGAACATGGTATATCTCTCCATCTATTTGTATCATCTTTAATTTCTTTCATCAGTGTCTTATAATTTTCTGCATACAGGTCTTTTGTCTCCTTAGGTACGTTTATTCCTAGATATTTTATTCTTTTTGTTGCAATGGTAAATGGGAGTGCTTTCTTGATTTCACTTTCAGATTTTTCATCATTAGTATATAGGAATGCCAGAGATTTCTGTGCATTAATTTTGTATCCTGCCACTTTACCAAATTCATTGATTAGCTGTAGTAGTTTTCTGGTAGCATCTTTAGGGTTCTCTATGTATAGGATCATGTCATCTGCAAACAGTGACAGCTTTACTTCTTCTTTTCCGATTTGGATTCCTTTTATTTCCTTTTCTTCTCTGATTGCTGTGGCTAAAACTTCCAAAACTATGTTGAATAAGAGTGGTGAGAGTGGGCAACCTTGTCTTGTTCCTGATCTTAGTGGAAATGCTTTCAGTTTTTCGCCATTGAGGATGATGTTTGCTGAGGGCTTGTCATATATGGCCTTTATTATGTTGAGGAAAGTTCCCTCTATGCCTACTTTCTGCAGGGTTTTTATCATAAATGGGTGTTGAATTTTGTCAAAAGCTTTCTCTGCATCTATTGAGATGATCATATGGTTTTTCTCCTTCAGTTTGTTAATATGGTTTATCACATTGATAGATTTGTGTATATTGAAGAATCCTTGCATTCCTGGAATAAACCCCACTTGATCATGGTGTATGATCCTTTTAATGTGCTGTTGGATTCTATTTGCTAGTATTTTGTTGAGGATTTTTGCATCTATGTTCATCAGTGATATTGGCCTGTAGTTTTCTTTCTTTGTGACATCCTTGTCTGGTTTTGGTATCAAGGTGATGGTGGCCTCGTAGAAGGAGTTTGGGAGTGTTCCTCCCTCTGCTATATTTTGGAAGAGTTTGAGAAGGATAGGTGTTAGCTCTTCTCTAAATGTTTGATAGAATTCGCCTGTGAAGCCATCTGGTCCTGGGCTTTTCTTTGTTGGAAGATTTTTAATCACAGTTTCAATTTCAGTGCTTGTGATTGGTCTGTTCATATTTTCTATTTCTTCCTGATTCAGTCTTGGCAGGTTGTGCATTTCTAAGAATTTGTCCATTTCTTCCAGATTGTCCATTTTATTGGCATAGAGTTGCTTGTAGTAGTCTCTCATGATCTCTTTTATTTCTGCAGTGTCAGTTGTTACCTCTCCTTTTTCATTTCTAATTCTATTGATTTGAGTCTTCTCCCTTTTTTTCTTGATGAGTCTGGCTAGTGGTTTATCTATTTTGTTTATCTTCTCAAAGAACCAGCTTTTAGTTTTATTGATCTTTGCTATTGTTTCCTTCATTTCTTTTTCATTTATTTCTGATCTGATTTTTATGATTTCTTTCCTTCTGCTAGCTTTGGGGTTTTTTTGTTCTTCTTTCTCTAATTGCTTGAGGTGCAAGGTTAGGTTGTTTATTCGAGATGTTTCCTGCTTCTTAAGGTGGGCTTGTATTGCTATAAACTTTCCCCTTAGAACTGCTTTTGCTGCATCCCACAGGTTTTGGGTCGTTGTGTCTCCATTGTCATTTGTTTCTAGGTATTTTTTGATTTCCTCTTTGATTTCTTCAGTGATCACTTCATTATTAAGTAGTGTATTGTTTAGCCTCCATGTGTTTGTATTTTTTACAGATCTTTTCCTGTAATTGATATCTAGTCTCATGGCGTTGTGGTCAGAAAAGATACTTGATACAATTTCAATTTTCTTAAATTTACCAAGGCTTGATTTGTGACCCAAGATATGATCTATCCTGGAGAATGTTCCATGAGCACTTGAGAAAAATGTGTATTCTGTTGTTTTTGGATGGAATGTCCTATAAATATCAATTAACTCCATCTCGTTTAATGTATCATTTAAAGCTTGTGTTTCCTTATTTATTTTCATTTTGGATGATCTGTCCATTGGTGAAAGTGGGGTGTTAAAGTCCCCTACTATGAATGTGTTACTGTCGATTTCCCCTTTTATGGTTGTCAGTATTTGCCTTATGTATTGAGGTGCACCTATGTTGGGTGCATAAATATTTACAATTGTTATATCTTCCTCTTGGATCGATCCCTTGATCATTATGTAGTGTCCTTCTTTGTCTCTTCTAATAGTCTTTGTTTTAAAGTCTATTTTGTCTGATATGAGAATTGCTACTCCAGCTTTCTTTTGGTTTCCATTTGCATGAAATACCTTTTTCCATCCCCTTACTTTCAGTCTGTATGTGTCTCTAGGTCTGAAGTGGGTCTCTTGTAGACAGCAAATATATGGGTCTTGTTTTTGTATCCATTCAGCCAATCTGTGTCTTTTGGTGGGAGCATTTAGTCCATTTACATTTAAGGTAATTATCGATATGTGTGTTCCTATTCCCATTTTCTTAATTGTTTTGGGTTCGTTATTGTAGGTCCTTTCCTTCTTTTGTGTTTCTTGCCTAGAGAAGTTCCTTTAGCAGTTGTTGTAGAGCTGGTTTGGTGGTGCTGAACTCTCTCAGCTTTTGCTTGTCTGTAAAGGTTTTAATTTCTCCCTCAAATCTGAATGAGATCCTTGCTGGGTAGAGTAATCTTGGTTGCAGGTTTTTCTCCTTCAACACTTTCAATATGTCCTGCCACTCCCTTCTGGCTTGCAGAGTTTCTGCTGAAAGATCAGCTGTTAACCTTATGGGGATTCCCTTGTGTGTTATTTGTTGTTTTTCCCTTGCTGCTTTTAATATGTTTTCTTTGTATTTAATTTTTGACAATTT